GATAGCCCCTGTAACTGTTTGTGGTAACCCCTTTCTTGGTGCTTGCAAACTGAAGAATATGAAGCATAGGTGTGTCCTAGAAAGAGATGAGAAAAAGCAGTGTTTTCATCTTTAGCAAGTGTTCTCCCTGCTTATATTCACTTTGCATACAAATAAACAAAAAAGTAATATTTTATTAGGAATCCAGTGGATAGAATAATGGACTGTAACTCAGCAGAGCTGAGTTCACAGCTCTGCCGTTGGCTTATTGGGCAAAGTCATTTGTATCATCACTATACAGCCTGGGATAAAGACAATCTCTTTATAATGCAATATGAGATCTATAAAGGAAAAATATTATGCAGAAGGAATAATAATAAAATACTTCTAATGATAATAGAATTATATGTTTTATATATATGTTCATGTGCACAGTGGAATGAATCAGATTCCATTCTGTCTCATGCTTTATCAGTGGTGCTGTTAACTGGTTTCCATTTTAAGGGCTACATGTATTAGTGTATTATTTTTAGCTGTACCTTCAGATACAGGTGTGGTTTTCGACTGAAAGTGATAGCATTTCATTGTAGTAACACTGGGCAGCATTTCCTGCATCTTCATTACTGTTGATAAGCCATAAAGAACTTTATGGCTAAGTTTAAATACCTACTATTTATGGTGGTGATGGGGAGGGGTCTTTTTTATTTGTGAACTGAGTAAATACATTGCACAGATTCTTGGGCTGTGAGGACTGTGGTTCCCTGAAAGTAACTTGCATAAAGTCCTTCATGTCTGCATTTGCTCTTTAAATCTTTTCTGGCTGTATGGGTAACATAAAGCATTTATTTTGCCTTATTTTATGCAATGTAAATAATAGATACATTCAGACTAGATCCTGGATACCTCAGCTGGTATATACCACTGTAGCTCTGGAACAAGCAGGGTTGCATCGGCTGAGAATCTACCCCCACCATCAGCTGTAAGTGCTAATCTTGGAGTGCATTATACAAATGTTCGTCGTAGTTTGTCAGCAGCAAAGCTGTCACCCAACAGTACACACTGCCTTCTATCAGCCATTACTTTTCTGTCATCATCATCAAGTGTAGCTTAAGAGAATCTGTGCATCATTTCTTTCCTTCTGAACAATTTCCATTGAAATAATTGACCTGCTTTTATGGTAATTCGGTCGCTGCTATTTGTTACTGCAGCATTTTGTAAAGAAAAATGCAAAACTAATGCCCTAGAACAGAAACATTCAGCCAAATTACTTACCAGTAATCCAAGGAATCATGGATAAATCCATTGCTCAAGTGGCTTCTCATTTGGAGCTTTATATAGTTTTCACCCAAGGGTTGAGATTTGGGTTTTTTGTGGGTGGAGGGGTTGATTTGTTTTTGAAAGGTAATACTCATGCTCTCTGCCCTAGAGCAACTTCATATAAATCTCTTCTGAAAACTGTATCTGCCAGCACTGTCACTCCACCCACGAGCTTTCACTAGTAACACCAGTTAAAAATATTTAAAGGGGCTGTTACCACTTGTTTGGTGCATTTCATTTTGCGTTTCTGCCTTCTCCTTTCTTCATTCTTCAAAAAAGTCAATAAGAGATATCATTTAAGCCCAGCGTTTTGAAGTGGCAACCAGTAAACAGCCTTATACCATGATTAATGTGTACTCAGGAATAGTTTGATGTAACTTACAAGTAGTAAGTTGGGGCCCACTGAATTTGTTTTAAAGTAAATGAAGAGATTCCAGTTGTGGGTTGGGACCTTCCGTGAGTCACTGGATATGCTATATTTTCCACCAATTTCTACCCCTGGCTGATGATGTTCATGTCAAGGTGTTACACAGTCACAGGGAAGTACAACCTAGCACAGAAGTGACAGAATCTGGACTGTCTGACAAGTTAAACAGTAAGGAGGACTTTAATTTCCATTTAAAAGCTGGAAACTATGGTCAAGGTGCATGATGCAAATCATGAAGTCTTCTAAAGAAAAAACAGTTCTTCAAAAATCAAAATGAATGTTGTTTGGTTTTACCTAATGGATATATTTTTCTTGATTTCTTTGACTTCCAGCAAGTTTGGCTTTCTGTGGAGTTTCTGGGCTGCTATTGCTTTTTTCAGGGGAAAGATGCATGAAAGTAAAGAGATCGCAAATGTTGTCCTGTGGCTTTAAGCAGGGTCATTGCCAGTGGAAGGCGTCCAGGATTTGATAACAGTGAACGTGCTCTGAATTTCTCTACTTTACTTTGGAATTTTGTTGAGTAGGTGGATTCCTATGGCTGACAGAGCCAGCATCTCAGCAGAGATGACAACGCACAGACCACAGTTCTGCTATTTTTCATCTTCATGTCCTAAAAAGGTGCAACTTTCTTGACAGCTCACAGGTGGAAGCATTAGCTCTATTTTGACCTCTTGAAAGTGGAAGTAGACTGGGGAGCAATGGAGTGATGAAGGCACAGGTTGAATATTTTCATTACTGCCTAAGTCTTAGGGAAGTTTGATAGCCTCACTTTGTATTGTGTGCTCATGGTGCTTACGTAAGCAGCTTCCACACAATGAGTTACAGAGCCGGAGTGAGTGTATTCATGAAACTCCTGTGAAAGTGCTAATTGCATCACCAGAATCCTGACTCTGTAAGGAAGAAGTTACCTCACCTTCCCAGCCCAGCATTTTGGTTACTACACATTTCTCAGTGTTTCTGGTGCTCCAGGACAGCTGTGCATGAAAGAGGAGTTGGTATTTTCAGCACTCTGAGCTGCGTGCCCTCCTTCTCAATCTGTGTGTTGGGTTGGAGGAAGGATTTATGTCTTGAAATATTTTTACAGGTGGTATATTGAACATTTCACTCTGGCGTTGCTTGTTCAGAGGTGGCTTCATTTAGTAAACTGAGCCCAAATAATCTAGTAGTAAATGACTCTTACAAAATGAGGAGGTGGTCTCAATCCAGATTTTTTGTGGAAAATACATGGTTACTCATGCTCTCAGCACAGAGGTGAAGATTGGCAGTGATCCCTGTAGGATGTGGATTTCTGACATGGGTGAGGCTGGGTGGGACATCTATGTAATTCTGCTTGTTTGATGAAAGATGAGAAGAGTATTATGAGCTAAGATAGTATTCTTTTTTCCTTTCTTTTTGTTATCTTTTTTCTTTTTTTGCACAAACAACAAACTATTTGGTCTAACTGAAATAACTCTGTGGCTAATCCTACCCTATTAAGTCTCCTCAAGGAGTGAATACGTTAAGAGCACACTTTGATGGAAATTATTAAAGATGACAAAAATTTCTTTATATAAAAGGAAATGTAGTACACTCTAACTTCATAGTTCAGAGCATCCAGAACGCTATGGTTTTTGTAGTATAATATCACAGTCAATTGTATTTCTTATTTTACGTTTTTGTCTCTTTCTCACACGAGCCTAGACTATGATTTCATAATGTTAATGAAACGTGTTGTGATGTTCCTGTAGGCTGCTGTGGGTAAATAATTACAATATGAGGAAGGTGATTCATGATGTGGCCCTAAGTCTGTAAAGCAGGACTTTGTGACTGATTAGGATATAAGCAAAGTGGACTGCAGTGTCTCAAAAAGCCCTTCAAAACTCCTGACAGATCAACCTATAGTCACTGCAAGGGTCACCTGTCTCAGCCCAACAGATAATTCTGTGAGAAGTTTTCGTGATTTATACTTGAGGCCTTCTTAGTGACCCAAAAACTATTCTTTGTGGTGTGTCCCTGACAACTTCTCCTCCTGTTCTTCAACCAACCAGGTAACTAAAGCTTGAGCCTTCTCATGAGAAAAGGGGCTAGCTGACAGCATGCCTTCTCCTGTAAACACATCCTCTCAGCACTGAGGGTCAGGAGTAACGTGATGCCAAGGCTGGTCCCAAAATCCAGACCTATGGCTGGCAAGTTTGGGACTTGTATTTCTCCTGCTCATTCAAACCGAGACCAAATGCAGAATCCTTTTAAGTTTCTCCATTACTATTCACAGTTCTCTTTGTGATTGCTGGAGAAAGAAATGTACATAGCTATTTAAGAAATTCATATATGTAGGCAGGAAAATGCTGTAAAAGAGTATGAAATACAGTGCAAGTATTGCTGTCGCTTCTTCTCCAGTCATATGCTACGCTTTAGAAAGGCAGCATGTTTTCTTCCACAAAAAGATCTTTATATTTCTGAACTTTCAGAAGTCTTAATCAATATAGATAACAGTTTGAGCATGATGACATCATATTTAGTCCTACAGTTGTGCATCTCAGCTGCTTAGTCATTTAAATCAGTGGAAATAAGCATAGCAGTTATAAGTTTCAAAAGGTCAAAGAAGCTACTGTCTTTTCAGCTTTGAATCAGCTGAGAGACTCCAGTTTCTTGGAAACACAATGCCAAGGCTGCATCTCTGCATCTCATTTCTTTTTTTTTTTTCCCTCCTTTGAAGCAGTATAGTAATTAGCTTAAAGGGCAAATCACACTGCACTCAGTAGCAGAATACTTTACAGTGCAAGTTCCTTTTTATTTTCTCTTTCACTTGAAAGTAGTTTAAAGAGAAGTTTTAGCCCACATTGTATACTGAAATATTTGCCTGATGCTCTCTTACCCAAACGCCAAAAAGCTGTTCACATTTTTCAATAAAATGAACGCTTTTTCAGTACAAATATGACAAGTTCTTTTACCATTTTCTCAGAAGGAAAATAAGTGATGAAGTGTTCCTCAGAGAGCAATTTGTGAGAAAATTAAAATTCAAATGAAAGCAAAAGACTTTTAAAACCTTTGTTTTAAATGTGATTTGTTTTTTTTATGAAAATAGCAGCATGATTTCTGGGAGGAAGCTACCTATCATCTAGACTGCAATGGAAAAAAACTTCGTTTTTTTCCTGTCAGATGCGTCAGTCAATCAGAAGTTACAATCAGAGTGTGCGCCACATTTATCTGTATAGCAGGACTCTACAGTGTTTTAGGGACTACTGTTTCTTGTATGATTTTCCAAATGACTCTTTGTTTCATTTCCATATACTTCCAGCCGCCGTTCTGCTGCTGAAGTGAAACTGTCCAGGCGGGTTGTTGAGCGTTTCCATTTCGTACTATACGCAGCCTTCTCAGAGCTGGGAGCTGCACGCTGGCATTCCAGGGACTTCTGGCTGCTCACGCTGCTGGTAGTTTTGCTTTGGTTCGTGAGACTTTACCTGCATTATTTGAGCCAATGGCTCTTCCTTCAGACCATCTCTGTTCCTGTTACAAAGTAAGTCCTACTGCCTTCTTTCTCTGCTGGAATATTTCTACAAATAGCTTGATTCAAAGTGGTTCCTTCACACTATGAAGAGAACTAAAGACTAAGACGCATGCTAAGGGCTCTGCATGCAAGCCCTGATAGGAGCCTCTGCAGAGACCTGGAGAACAAGGAGCACATCCAAAGTCCAGATGATCTGATATGTAAATGTGACCCTAACAGAAAAGTGAAGGTGTTAATAATGTCAATTTTCAACCCAGAACAGGATGTGTCCATTTGTGAATCTTGTGTCATGCCTACCTCTCCCTCTCTGAGATACCCAGCAGGTTATGTATCTTCCACAAGAATCATTTATCATTTTGGATCAAATATTTCAAAATGCCTAAGAAGTGCACAAAATTGAAGAAGCATTTAAATCATATTTGATGTTACCAAAGTGATCTATGAGTAAAATACTTCGAAGAATTTAACTGATATATCAATTTTACTGTGAGGACTACAATGGATTGGCATATTTTAACTGTATGCTCTCTAGAGAGTTCCAGGAAAATCATTACTTGTCATTACTTGACATGAAAAAAAAAAAAAAAGTTGGAGAACAAGTCCACAGGTGATATATACCTGGTTCTCCATATGTTGCTGTGGGGTAGAGAATGGGTTTACAGAGCAAAAAAGATCAGTCATGCTTAGGGAAGGGAAGATTTCTCCAATAGAACCTTTTTTTTTCTTTTCTTCACTTTAAAACATCATGAAAACCTGAATCAGTCAGTAGGAGCCACTAACATGCAACTCTGTGACCTGTGTCTGCTGTGATACAGGGATTATTGGCTAAAATTTGAACACAGTGTCTGAGCAGACTCTGGACAGCACTTGGTATTGTTAAGGTAGTCTTCTAGATCTTAATGCAAAGCCAGCCATCTCTTGCTTCTGGCCTTGCACAGACCAGGCACGCTCAGCCAGCTGGCATTAAAACTTTTGGGAGGCCAAGCATCAAGAGTCTGGGAAAGCAAAGGAAACACAACAGAAGGAAGCAATGTGTGAGAGAGAAGTGGTCGTGTTCGAAGCCACTAATCACAGCTGTCCCAGGCAGTCAGCTAGATAAAGGATAATGTTCTCAAGCCAAGATGCCCTGGATCAGCATCCAAATCTGTAGCTGTGTGCCCACAGAAGAGACTGAGTTGAGCGCTCTCCAGTCCTGCTAAATAGTGGTCTCACTCATAAGTCAGAAACAAAGTGAGAATCTCAAACCGCTTCACCTTTACTCAGGAGGAAAATTTAAGCCACTTTTGATTTGCTTGAAATTTTTGCCTTAAATTTCAGCATCTGTGTGTAGCTCACAATACCATGCAGTTCCTGTCTCTTGCAGCGCCAGCAAATTTGCTCATTGTGCGAGCTTTTAAAATCCCACCGTCCCATGGTGGCAAGAGGGACATTTTCAGTCACTTTAGGGATACTAAAAGCTGTGTCTTCCTTGACACATTTTCTGCTTTGCGCAGTGTCCAGAGGTGCTGCAGTATGCAGAGAGGGGTGAGCTCCTGGGGCCTGTGCTCATATTGGCGCTTCTGGGAGCTAAAGTCTTCCTATACCCCTGCCTGCACAGTCCCAAGGGCCTGGATGTGCATCCACTGAACTGAGAGTCAGAGGGGATCAAAGGACGCAGGGGCAGGAGGAGGAGAAAAAATTTATTTTTCTGAGTGGCTTCAGTGGTTTTTGGTCAGAGGATTGTGACCAAAATGGGGATGCAACTTTATAATGCAGCATGCTGTATGCATTATTCTATGGTTTTTTAATGGTTTGCCCAGGAGCACAGGCAAACTCTCTCCTTTTGCTTATTTACAGATTCCAGCTTTTCCCTCACACTGTTGAACTGTGCTACCAGAACTCCTTGCTGCACACCAGTGAAGAGTTGGTCATGGTTGTGGTGGGGCCCCTAACCTTGAATGCAGGGCTGCTTCTTATAGTCCTGATCAGATGGGGCTGTCAGCAGCTGTTTCACTCATTCCCTTCCTTCTTGTCAAAGTTTATCATAGCTCTGGGACTCTGGACAGTGCTAGACCCCTTGGCAGTGTTCATAGTGGACTCAGTCCTGGGGGTAAGTCACTTAAAATAACTTGGACATGAGATCTTGACGTAGAAGTTTGTTTTATTCAGTGAATCACTGAAAGATATGAAATTCCACCCCTGGCAATGGAACATGAAAGTTAAAAAGAAATTAAATAATAATGTTATACATTACCTTTTTATTAACAAAATTCCCATCTAATGGAGTCACTGTGTTTCTGCATAAAATTAAGAGCACTGTACAAGCCATATATGGAGATAAGAAAGTAAATCCGCCACTGGAATGATTGCATCTGCTTTGAAAAGGATTACTGCGATTTTGGATGTTAATGGAGATGGGTTAATGAGCAGTCCTGATTATTAGTGCTTCAGATTTTTCTAAGCACTGAAACAGACAAACTGAAAAAATGGCAAAACCAAAAGGAGAGGTTATTGTGCACTTCTCTGATGTGCAATGCAGTTAATATAACTTGCTGGCTCACCTAGAAAGACTTGTGAGATTGAAAGACAGTCATCTTTAAGGAAACAGTTTCACCACACGTAGAATGATGAGAGCAAAGCTTCCAACTCTGTCTATGCCTATGTATGCACTGTGTAGCCCATCTGTACTTTGGTGGCTGGGGGCTTTTATCACATCCGAGGTAATGCCTAGTCTCCCAGAACATGCGTTTCAGATATGGCTCTCACTGTGTAGGTGACATAGGGTCCTTTTGATGGGCGCAGGGTGCTGTGAGATTTTCTGGGGGAGTGCTATTGCTGTTTTTCTGCCCTTGTCTGCCTTTCAAAGATATCTTTGTTTCTGTTGCTTGCTCCAGATCAAGCAGTAATCTAAAGTCCTTGTTGTGGATCAAGTTTTCTCAGGTCTCTCGGTTCTTCATCCGCTAACCTGTGCGCTGCTTTTAAGAAGCCCTGTTAAAAATCTGATTTCCCACTGTTTACGTGCTGTTTGCCATTGCAGTGGTTTTGAAAATTGAAATTCAGCTATTCAAGAAATTTAATTGGAGCTCACTTGGGAGGTAATTGCAATATTTTAAGCATGTGGCAACACACTGTAGTTTTCACTTGGACAGCCTGCTGTTTTATGATTTTTTTTTTTTTTTTTTAATTTCATGGTGTAAACCATGCACAGAATTGAATTTTAATTGTAATTATTCTGATAACAATTTATTTTCCTAGGAGAAAAAGGGGTAATTCCCCAATGTCCAAGCTAGAAATATTTAAATATTTAAAAGGCTTCCCCCTGCCCCAATGCTGGTGTATTCATAAAAACTGGAGGAAAGGCTGAGGTCTGCCTTGTCTTTCCTACACTTGAGAAAATCATTGCCATTGACTTCAGTGGAATTATGTTCAGTTCTAGTCAGACTGAATTCATTATCAATTTCAAATAGGGCTTCTTTTCTTGGTCAGAGGGAAACGTGAGATACGAATAATGTAACTAAGTTTTTCATGACAGTGTTAAAAAAGCACATCTCTCTCTGTACCTCATACTGAAAATTTGGCAATTTTACCCACCAAGATTATCTTTGGTAGAAACTCATTTGTTCAAATATTACACAATATACTGTGTATATCCTTTCCAAAATGAAACTATATCTCTTACATGTGTTTTTGTTATTGCATTTGTAATTATTTTTTTTTCTCCTGGCATTCTTTCAGCAGCTATTTCAGATTTACTTGCCAATCTATTTTAGATCAGGCATTTTTTAAATGTTGTGTTGCGGTAATATGAGTTATTTTAGTGCTAGAATGTATTTTAGCATCCTAAATGGCTTTAATGCTTATGAAAGATGACAGATAGCCCTGGAGAGAAAGGTTTCTCTGTTTACTAACTAATTTTTTTTATTATTAAGGGAAGACTAGAGCGCCAGTTGCATGTTTGGAGGGTTTCAACTCATAGTTTGAGATACTGTGTCAAATGTGTGATTCTAGGCTTGATTTACTCTCAGCTTGTAGAGGGATGTTCCAGCTGTAAGAAACTTTCCTATGATTTTGGAGAACACAGTTCTAGTTCCAGTTCTGCCAGAGCTTTCCCAGGACCAGTCACTTGGTCTCTCTGTAGGCTGTAAAATGTAGAGAGTAACACCTCTTTACCCACATCGATATGTGTCATCATAAAAAACATTAGAGACTGCAGAGTGCTCACATGACCATCACTCTGTGGTGTGATAAGTACCTAAGCCAGGTATTGACAGATATTATAGAAACGATTTAAAACGAAGACATCTTTCTTGGATCATGTCTTTGAGGACCACAAAAGGATTGACACAATCTCTTTGTTAGAAAGAAAAAAATGGATAGAAAGATACACTTTCCCCACACCATTTTTGCCTTGCCAGAAAGAACTGCTTGAATAAGAGAGAAATTAATTCTTACTTGCTATTCAGACTTTTGCCTCTCTGGAGGGATGTCAGGATGTGACTGCTGTGCAGAGGATTTTCCTTGGTAGACAGTCTTTTCGATAAGAAAGTGTTGGAGGCAGACAGCTTTTTTTTGAAAGAAGAGAGGATAGAACAGAACCAGGAGATAATGTATTTTAACTTTTTTGTAAAGAATTCGATCAGATCTGAATTAGTGACTAGTCTGTATATGCCATTACCATTCTCCTGGGACTTGTAATTTCCATTACAGAAACCTGGCAGTGTAGCAAAGGGTGGAGAGAACAGAAATATACTCAAGAATCTCAGTCCTTGTACAGCTCATCATTGGACTTGTAATTGTCTTTACTTTATTATGCGTGTCACTGCAAGGGTAGCAAAAAAGAGGGAGAAAGTTTTGACTCTTGCTAAGGATTAGTCCAGGCAAGTTGCTTAGGAAGGTGTAGGTTTCTTGGAGCCTAAAGGTCACAGACTCCCTTTCTGAATGATATGTACTGGATTTTTTGGTGGTGCAGTTTCACAGCCTTCCAAAATGTGTTAATGTGATTTAATATGGATATGGCTGTCATTGTGTCACTTTAAAAAGAAAAAAGTGAAGAGAGGAATTTATTTTAGCTCTGAGCAGTAGAACACCCATGATACGTAGCTGAATTCTTCTAAATTGATCCAGCAGAGGGCAATAATATGTCAATACAGTAGCTAGTTCTTAAGAACTAGATATGGGGAAAAAAAGGAAAATAACAGATTTTTGAACAATCTTTTTCCATGTTTTACTGGAAGTATAATGAAACATAGAGTGTTACGAAACCTTCAGGACTCTTTGTGTATCTGCAAAAATACACAAACCACCTTATTCCCAATTAAATTACTATGTTTGTTCTATGAATATTAAATCCATACCAATATTTAGTATGCTAAAGGTTTGTTTCATCTTCAGTAGAATGAAAATAGTTATACATGTTTATTTGTTTACAGAGCAGTTGAACATAAACTATTAATAGTGTAACTAAGTACCGTATATGACAGTCATGTACCTTTGGAGAAGTTATTAATGATACAACTTACGGATGCTATTTTGTACAGTTAAGAGGTATCTTTAATTCCACCACAGCAGTGGGAGTACCATACAGTCAGATGTCTTCAGTGGTATTGGTCTCATTGCGTCTCTATTTCTGCTCAGGAAGGAAAGAAATTAAATGACGGCTTGTCCTGGTTTCAGCTGGGATAGAGTTAATTTTCTTCTTGGTAGCCAGTATGGGGCTGTGTTTTGGGTTTAGGATGAGAAAAATGTCATGATACACTGATGTTTTCGTTTGTGCTAGTTGCTAAGTGGTGCTCACACTGGTCAAGGACTTTTCAGCTTCCCATGCTCTGCCAGGTGCATGAGAAGATGGGAGGGGACACAGCCAGAACAGCTGGCCCGGACTGGCCAAGGGGCTATTCCATACCACATGACGTCATGCTCAGTATATGAGCGGGGGGAGTTGGCCGGGGGAGGGGCAACGATCGCTGCCTGGGGGGGAGTGCTGGGCATTGGTCAGTGGGTGGTGAGCAATTGTACAGTGTATCGCTTTCTTTGTATTACTATTATACTATTATTACTTGTTTTTATTATTACTGTTATTATTGCTATTACTACTGTTCTATTTTTATTTTACTTTACCTATTAAACTGTCTTTATCTCAACCCACAAGTTTTCCCCTTTTGCCCTTCCAATTCTCTCCCCCATCCCACCGGTGGGTGGGGGAGTGAGCAAGTGGCTGCGTGGTGCTTAATTGCTAGCTGGGGTTAAACCATGACACAGCTATATCATAAAATAATGCTGATGTTTGTTGATTATTCAATGTTGCAGACTGTTCTTTGTGGCTTCCCAAACTGGACTGACTGGACACTAGGAGTGGGGGTGAAGGGAATATCTGATTTTCTGACTTAAAATGCTGCAGACAGACTTGATAATGCATGTACATAAATTAAAATACTGCTTCATAAGGGGGAACTTGTCTCTTTTGCACTGAAAAAAGGTCAACCCCTTTGGGCAAAACTTAGCAAAACCCTGCTGGTGTCCCCTGTTGATCTACTTGTAGTTGCTTTCTTCATTTTTCTCACCTCATTGGGTCTCAGTGAAGCTTTGTGAATCCACTACCTTCTTTGACTGATGCTGTTGTTTGCAAGTCTAGTGGAAAAGCTATCCTAGGTGTCAGCTGGCAACACATGCAGATGCCCTGATACTTCCATTTGGCATTTCAGATAACATGATGGTTGCTTTTGTTTTCCAGTGGTAGCACCAAACAGTGACTCGATCTCAAATTGGGAACTGGTGTGTATACACGCTCCAAAGTGCACGTGTTCAGAATAACATAACTTGCTGAGTCTGGTAGGAACTAGTATTTTTCTTGTGACAAGGGCAAATCATTTTGAGTTTGGAATTATGCACTGGCACAAGCATTTTCTGCTCACTCAGCACTCCTAAAAACAACAGCATAAATCATTCAATATTATACCTCTCTGGTCATTGAAATAAGGCAAATTTCAGCCTTCTTCCCCTTCCACTTCTCCTGAAATATGCTAACGAAGCTCACATTGAGTATTTTCACTGTGACACGGGTTTTGTTCAATAAGCCACCTCTAATAGGGTAGATTTTAATTGTACTAAAATAAGCCAGAATATAGTTTATTTCACATCTCATGGTTAATCTCAAATTCTGTGTAGTAGACTCCTAAGCTTCAAGATGTGTGCCCCACAAATTACAATTAAATCCTTCTTATAAAGAAATTCAGGTTCTGTTGTGTCTATAGGTAAATAATCTAATCAGGTTTGGCAATTTTCTTACGTTGATTTTTTTTTCCCCCCCCATGACAGCGACTTGGGAACAGTGTAGAGAAACCTATTGCTGATGCTGCAAAGCTCTACTGGGTCTTTCTAAGAGCAGAGGAGTCAGGGATTCCTGGTGCCTTAATCACTGTGGTGCTTTATACAGTCCTGTTCATCATCTCGTCGACAGTGTTGTACCTGTACTTTTTAAGGTATGTCTCTTTATCTCATTATTCCCTTAGGAGCTTAGGCTCAAGCCCCTTCTCCTGTAAGATAAAATAAGGTGACATCAGAAAAGACATATCAATGTTACATATCCAGAGCCCAGAATTGCGGACAATCAAGGAGGGGTTAGCTCCTGCTTAACTTTTAATGCACTGGTATTTGGTAGGCACAGTGAGTCAGAGAGGGAGCCACTTATTTCCTCAACAGGAACACAATTGATATAATGATTTTTCATAGAGTCTAGGAGCCTCCGTTCCTTTGGCTTCAGACAATGGTGTCTGTGTCAAGAGTTTAAGCTCTAAAGTGTGTGTACCTTTTATTTAGGTACTTCAGAAGATGACGTCTTTAGTCTTCCAAGCAGGGTTTTTGTGAGAAATAGGAAAAATTCAGAAAGCTGCATATAGTGTGAAGTGCAAAATCTTACTCTCAGTCTGCAGTGGCCCCCAGGGTCTTACAGCCTTTTGATGATACAGGATTTTTGACTTGATGTGACTGAGGCTTTAACCCACTGCATGACATGACTTAATCCAAATTTTTCCATGACTTTAGCCCATTATCAATATTCAGTTCATCAAGAAATTTGACCAACTACCTTTCTTGCCACCTTTCTAGCAGGCACCATTAGCCAGTCAACAGGGACAGGTGTGGGACACTGAAAATGAACAAGATAGGTTGTCTAATATATTGAATGAAAAAGTGTATTTTCATTTTTTCTGAGTGACTTATCTATAACACAGTATGAATTTTGTACTGGCCCTCGATTCATCCAGTGATGAACATTGAGTGGTGGCAAGCACCAATAAAAAGCCGTACGCAAAGGCAAGATGCAGGCAGGTGTAAGAACAGAAAACCTCAGCGTATGCCCTCCATCTGACAGAATCATCCCTCGGTCTCCTTTCCACAAACTCTGTTGTGGCAGGCAGTAAAAGATAAATGGCAATCTAAATTTCTGCAAAGTGTTTCAAAGCTCCTGCATTCCTGGAAGCTGTACACAACTCCAATGTACTGGTAGTCTAGTTAATTAGTTTTTGAGATGTTAATGCCTTCTTAATCATTGACTTAATAGTTTTGAATAGCTTCATAAGTTTTAGCTGCTGTCGTTTATTACTCAGGAAAATTAATTTAAATTAAAACATTTGTAAGGCAGGTTTTTATGAGAATATTACCAACATCTTCATTGTCTGGGGAACAGGTGCAAGATCATGAAAGGTTCCTTTCCTTCTGGATCAATTTTCCCATAATGTTTTCCAATAAAGGGGTGGGGGGAGAATGTTACTAGGGGAAAAAGTTGTTGTAGTACAACACATTTTAAAAATGATTCATAGCAAAATACAAAAGCAAAGGGAAGATAACAAAATCTGTTACAGTGCATAAGGTCTTTGAAGTTCTTTGCTTGATAACAGAAAGAAACATTTTGAATATTGGAGTCTGTTCAGAGTGAAGTTATACTATGAGCTTCTGAAATTGGATCAACTTTCTCTTCCTTGTATGTCCACAGCCCAACACAGTGGGAACCTTGGACCTGGCTAGGACTCTTGAGCAACACACTGTCAGTCCACTAATGATAGCATTAAAACCTTTTAAAATGTTTTTAAGGAAAACATCTTTGCAATTTATAACATTGTTTCTGGAGTATTGATATAACAGCATTTGTTTTCAAGAGAAAATAGTATTAGAACCAAGGCAGCAGTATCCCTTTGTGTGAATATTTCTCAGGTGTTATATCTCAAAGATATTAAAAGGTAATGTTGCTCAACTCAGAAAACATATATTTTTTACACAGGCATCCACCACATCTTTCTTTTGTAAGGTAAACCACTATAAATATTGAGGGATGTCTTCTCTGTCCTAAGACACCAGTCAACAGGGAAGACTTTGGCTGTTGGATGGTGGAATTGGTGCCATTGATTAAAATTACTCAGCAATTTGCCATTTAACAGAAGTGTTCAGCAGAGTATAAAAAAGGGATAAGAACAGTGAACCCACCAGCCCACCAAAGCAAGTAGGGGAAGTGTCTGTTTCTGCCACAGCTAGAAAGCTTCATGGCAGCACTGATGAACAACCAGGAAGCTGATGAAATCATGGGCAGGGGATAAACAGCAGTAGGCATCTATTTGTGCCTTTATAAACCAACATATCTCAATAAAACTGGTTCCCCTTGGGTGTCTTGGGAGTCTGTAGTACATCTAGCATGGAGAGATATTCTAATTACTTTTTGGAAAAATGAAGTGCCACTGGTTGCAATTCCTTAATTTTAATTCCAGTAGACATTAGAAACAGTCAGAAGTTTGTTGGTGAAATGTTTTCTGCACTGTGAGAAAATGCAGACCCATCTCAACTAAAAGTATCTGCTGCAAAGAGTCTAAATTTCCTGGTATTGAAATATTTTGGGGGGGAAAAGCTTCAAAAATCTACATCTTTCAATGTTAACAGCAAAATTATTTTTCTATTTTTTACAGTAGCTTTCCAAAAAAGGATGAGAAAGGCTCAAGTGAAAATGTAATAAATTGTTTTAAACCACTCTACCCTTCGATTTTTGGTTTGTGTAAATTTGAGAAGTCCATTTTTTGATCTGACTTTGGATAGCAAATCATGTCAATGTCTTCTGTTCTTTCTGATAAATAAATGAACTTGTAAGGTATTATACTGGGTCTCATATCTCTAGAAAATAGCATCTGAGTTTTGTTTTGCTCTTTATTGCATTACCAATAGAAATTATTACTGTCAAATTTACAAGAAGCCATGTTAAGATAAAAGAAGTGTTTTATTAGTTTTCATGCCAAAGAAAAGAAATTAAAGCAGGTAACAGGAGCAGGCTGAGTACTTTTGGGCAAAAGGAACAAAGCTGGAAGACAAGCTTCATGATTCTTAATTAATTCAAAGTTAATTATATTGTTTATAACCATGTGCTTAAAATCTTCATATAGAAAATGTTTATGGCAGCAAATAGACAGTAATTTAACTACATTAAATTTTACTTCATTTGAAATAAGAATGTTACATTAAGTGAGCTTAAATAAATGGCAAGGTCTTTTTCTTGTTTAGCAAGATAAGTGGCAAGTCATTTAAATTGCTGACCTGGAATTTCAAAGATGAACAGCACAGAATGTTATTGTTGCAAGATGAGCGGAAGGCCAGAAAGCCCACCAGCTTGATTGCTAGATTTTCAACTAAGTACAGGATAATTCTAAGTTATGAGTCAATGTTTGCAAAAAATTTATCTACTGTGTTGAAAGAACATCTAATGTAGATCCAGGGATTAAGAGACAAACTTTTCTTTGAAGATGCTGTGGAATGTGGAAAATTACTTCATGAAGGGTATTAGTCATTTTTAAAAAATCTTCTCTTCTGTAGCGTGTTTTAAGATACTTTAGTATCCTACTCTGCCTTAGCACTGATTTTCATTTCACACTTGAGAGCTTTTTCTATTATTTCTTGTTAGCCAGTTTGTTTGTATTCCCAGGACTACCTACATCTCGATTAGGTTATCTTCCAGCTGCTCTCCTCTTTTGATAAGAGAATCCTAAAATGGCGTCTTGGAAACTACAGCAAATTTAGGGCTGCAGCTTCAAAAAGGAATGTTTCAAAAAAGAAGGGTGGGGAAAAAAGTACAGAGAGTGCATTTGCAGCAAAGTAGGAGATATAACTTCCTAATCTGATGTTGAGACAGGCTGCCAGATTTCAGTATCGGAATAGCTACTCCATCGCAGAAACTCTTGGATATAGAGCTTGATCCTAAGGTACATATTCCCCTTTGAAGAGAGAGCTAAACCTCCGCCTGAGATCAAGTTGAAAAACTGTCTGTTGGTGCATCTGCTTTTTTCTGTTCCATGCTAAATCTCAGTTGTGGGCAAAATTGTACTAAGTAGCTTATTGAGTGTGCTTCTCTGCAATTACTGTGTACACTTTAAGGTGAGATGTAGAGCTAGTGTAAATGTGAACTTCATTCTGATTTACTTGAACAGTCCACTGCCATCCACCTGCACGCACATTGGTTAGCACACACATGCCGATACAAGACCCAAGAATAAAGATCAGCCACAAGAACTCTGTCTAGTGCTGCTGTACGTGAGAAGGATGAGAGTGCAGAGGGTCAAAGGAGCTATGCCTGTGCTCTCTCTCCAACCTACCAAGAAATGAAGGACCTGTTCAGCCCCACAGGAATCTGGGCTTTTTTGTTGGTTGCAGTGCCACACAGCAATCCCTGTGCTTCTCATGACTACCCAGCCAGTCTCTGGGAAGGATGGAAAAGCTGAGATTGGCACCAAGCAATGGCTGAATTGTAATAAAGTATTAGCTTGAAAGAGGGTACAAAAGGAAAGACCTCAATTCAATATCCAAGACTGAGATTCCAGATTTTCTGATCTTTATTTTCTAAACCCATGGTTTTGGAATAAAAGTAGAATGAGAAAGAGATGAACTTGAAGAGTTTCCATTTGAATTAAACAGCAATGTTTTGAAGTTTTAAAGTTCATCTAAGGCTAAAAATGTAACACTAGGCTTTTCCAAAAGCCTCACAATATTTCTTGGTTTCACCTACATTAAGAAATACCACACAGCAAGCCTTTCTTGTGGTAGAGAATTTTACTGCGTAGTGCTTATTCAATTCCCTACCACAGCACAGAAATGTCATAGAAAAACAAAGCCAACAAATGAAATGAACTTTTCTAACATCAAGAGAAGTTTAGATTGTATAGACTTCAGGCTTGGGGTTGAAAAAAATGGTGAGTAGTACCTTTCTATGTGATGTGGTTTGCCCATTATTGAACACTGGCACAGCAGGACTTCCATTCATGACTAACTGAGGTACTCCATTTAAGCATTGGAACTAGTAACGCAGCCCAGTCCTAAGGTATTGGGCATTTCTGAAGGAAAGGAAGATCAGGATCTTTTTGGGAAGTCAAGATCTTGAAACAATTAAAAGAGATTGCTGCTTAAGTTTATGTGATTTGATTCAGGTATTGTAAAGTCTCCAGAGGGTTGGGGAGGGTTGTATGTTGGAGAACCTGTGGGAAAGAAGCTTCTTACTCACGGGTAGAGAATATAGTCATGAAGAGAAAACCAAGCTTTAGAAGTCTACAAATGGATAAGACACCTTCTTCTTTTTTGCATGAAGAGTCCTTTCAAAGAAGAGCCAAATGTGTCATTTCTATCCACAGGCTACATAGCGAAAGTTGGCTGTTGGATGTATTTCAACGCATTCGTGGTGAGGAAGGCACATTCTTTGTTCCATTGGACTTAGAGATTTCCAATCAGGAGCTGAGCTACGTTATAAAGAGGGCTGAGCAGTGGAGAGGAATCAATGGTGAAAGGCGAATGGTGAGTGGCAAACAGAGTCCCCAAAACGAATCTGTGACATACTGGTCCAAATTAATGCTTCGTATTTCTGGGTATTACATAAAAGGACCTAGATATACAAGAAAATTATTCTTAGGGTACTTCTTTGAATGAAGAAGCTAAGAAGCATGTTCAGGAGAATTTTGTAAGAGGGTTGTATGTGTATTGCCTGAACATCTTGAGGGGTTACAATCTGCTTAGTATCCAAAGGCTTAGTGGCATCACTGATGTCAAAAATTATCTATGCCATCTGGTGATTCTTGACTGGGTTGTAGAGACTTGTTACTTGTTTAAATGTCAGTACCATCCCAGATAATTTTTCAACCAGCTCAGCAAACTGGGGAGCTCCATGGACAAGTCAAATTTGCTCCCTGGAAGGGCGCGGATGGAGCTGCCCTGAGGGAGGGAGTGTGAGTTTGGTGAGTCAGATGTGATAGCCATACTTTCCTTCCTGGCCCTTTCCTTCCAAGATCTCCCAGAGGAGTAGGCTGAGTTGGAAATATGCAGAGGAAGGTAGGAGAGGTCTGAAGTTAGTTTTCTCTACTTTGGTTATCAGAATAATTCCTCTTTCTTTTCCATTAAGTCACTAGCCTCTAGTCCCATATACAGACTTCAAGCTGTGATGTGCAGGAGATACATCTGTGTTTGCAAAGCATCCAGTGTTGGGGATGCCATCCACAAATGAGGCTTCTGGTCATAATTGCTTTCAGAGAATTGAAAATAACAGAAGTAACACGGTCAGTAGTCTGTAAGGGTCATTGTCCTCCTGTGAGGGACATTTTCTTCCTTGTTTTCTAGGTTTGTATCAGCATTATTAATTCCCATAGGACTATCTTATAAAACGGTTCTTGGACAATTGTTAAAGTGCTTGTCAATTGGATTTATACATCTATGAGTGCCTCTGTGCACAATGCTTTGTTCAGTAACTCTCCTGCTTCAGTGTAAAAATGAACAGGTTCCAGATAGGAAGGAAATTAGTCCTCTTAAGTATATATGAGTTGTTTGTTTTGTTTTCTAACCCACTGGAACAAGTGACTTCAGATTAGGATCTGCAGGTTTTTCAAGTCTCTATAGCTACCTCTGAAAGATCAGCAGTTTATATAAAGATATAGCCTCAGTTGTCACTGCTATAAATATCTGGCACAGCTGTAATTATTTTCCACTTTTTTCGTGATGACAGTTTGGACCCTGAAACAAAAAATAAAAAGGTGAATGTGCCAAGTGAATGAAAAAGCAGATACTCAGTAAGCTTAATTTTTGTGGGAAAGCACAGAGCACCACATTGCATTTTGGCAGGCAGGGAGGGAAGGTAGGAACAAGTGAATGTGCTACCACAGCCACCTGCCTCAGACATTCCCACTTTTTATACAGATAGCACTTATTTGCTTTACCCCAGTAGGGAAAATCACCCTTTTTTTGCACTTAAAAACTTTCTACAGTAAGTCAAAACATAGCCACTGATGATTGGTTTATATTACCTTTGCTACATGTTAAGTAAGGTCAAACAAAGAATATATATTGTGGACCTCATTTTACATGCCAGGACTACCAATGCCATACAGAAAAGTGGCAGATAAGGCAACTGCAAGCAACTATCTTTCTGTTTCAAGTGATGAATACATTTCTAATGATATTATCAGCATATCATTTCTTGCAGCAGTACAGAAAGGGCTGGATTGGTGGTGATGGTGGTGGGGAACAGAAAAAAAAAAAGGAGGGAAAAGAAGGAGAGGATGTGGGGTAAAGACAAATGGAAAACAATGGAAAGAAAAATTACTTCCTTGTATACAAATAGTCTGCCTCTGAATGGAAGAAATCTGGATTATCATAGAATCATAGAATAGTTTGGGTTGGAAGGGACCTTTAAAGGTCATCTAGTCCAGCCCCCACTGCAATGAGCAGGGACATCTTCAACTAGATCAGGTTTCTCAGAGCCCCATCCAATCTGACCTTGAATGTTTCCAGGAATGGGGCATCTACCACCTCTCTGGGCAACCTGGTCCAGTGTTTCACCATCCTTATTGTAAAAAATTTCTTCCTTAGATCTAATGTAAATCTACCCTCTTTTAGTTTAAAACCATTACCCCTTGTCCTATCACAACAGGCTCTGCTAAAAAGTCTGTCCCCATCTTTCTTAAAAGCCCCCTTTAAGGACTGAAAGGTCTCCCTGGAACTTTCTCCAGGCTGAACAACCCCAGCTCTCTCAGCCTTTCTTCATAGGAGAGGTGTTCCATCCCTCTGATCGTTTTTGTGGCCCTCCTCTGGACCCGCTCCAACAGGTCCATGTCTTTCCTGTGCTGAGGACCCCAGAGCTGGATGCAGTACTCCAGGTGGGGCCTCACCAGAGCAGAGTAGAGGGGCATATCCACTGGTGTGAGATGAAATACTTCAGAGGACAGAACATTCATTGAAAAACATGGCCCATACCTATAGGCATATGTAAGTGCCTAGTTTTGCTCCCAATATGCAGCTTGGAAGGTATGAAATGCCATATTGAAATGCAAGTACCTGATCTTACTCTGAGATCCTTTAAAATGGACCCAGCCTCAGCCAGATCCAGCAGGAGGGAGGGTGCGGTCAGAGTAGAGGGAGGACTCCTCTATGCTGCTTAGGGAGCATTGCGCACTTCATTCGACAAAGCGGAGTGATGCGCGCTCTTGCCTTTACCCTAAATCCCCAAGTTTCTGATTCCTATTCTGTTTACATCTGCACAAATTTCATGCCTTTTCCTTTATATCAGCCCTAACCAAATGCCAGGCTGTGACAATGTTAAACTTTCCTGTTCTCTATGGGACGTACTGGTGCAGACTATACGATATAAGGACACAGGAATAATGCAGAAAGCATGCAGAAATTTGCACCCCTGGCATCAGTCAGATCTCTGTCATTTGCTTCACTGGGCACGGGACCTGTCTCACAATGAGGAAAATTTGTGAGTGCAGACTGCTATCCAAAACTTCCAACCTACCTGTATGAAACACGAATGCTGTGAAAATACAACCAGTGTTCCTCAGAAACCTGAAATCTTCCCTTCTGCTCCAATTTCTTGTTTATATTATTTTGTTGGAAAAGAGAACCATCAAACCAAGTTTCTTTAGCTCTTTGGCAAATCTAGTATTGTAATAAAAACTTGCTCCGTTCCGGATATATGTTCTCCACACGGAGGATCTTCCTGCAAGACTAGGAACTATGTTTTCAGGTCTTTTATGCTCCTAGGCATTGCAGATGCTGAAAGACCCTTTTTCTGTCATGAATTTGCATAAGGTATTTATCTTGTCCCTTTCTTTTTGTATGTCTAATTGTACAAAGTAATCAGTATGGAAGACACATCACTAGGCCTTATTGCGTGCATTATTAATGTGTTAATTTTTAAATAAGATACCAAATTAACTGTGAGCAATTTTTATAAAGGGAAGCATGAGACTGCCATATCTTACATCACTCCATATAAAAAATATATTTTAAATGGAGGTCATTCAAGTAAATAGTCAGTCAAACCTTCTGGAAAAAATAGGTCTACGTTTTTGCAATATTTTCTTGCTATTAACCATGTGCTTCTCATTTTTATTCCCTGGATTAAAAATTGCCCCATAAATGGGTATTTTATAATATGCTTAATTTCCTTTTATTAAATTGATAAATGCAGCAGCAAAGGACACATTTACAGCATGATGAGAATTTAAGGTTATTGCATTTTATAATTTTTATATTGTTCAGAGAAGTGATTTGTCATTTGTGGAATGACATCCATGCCATCATTTCAAAGTATTTTTAGTCATTCTTTTGATAGGAAAAAGGTCACTTTCTGTAGACCAGGAAGACATCACTCTATTAAACTAATTTGCCTACATGCAAATTTTGTCATTTTTACCTCATTAACTATTTATCATAGAGTAAAAAAATATATATATTCATGAAGGGGCAGCTAGCAGCCTGATGGAGCTGGAACTAATATTTTGCAACTCTAATGATTTTTTGCATCCTTAATTAGATAGCATAAGGTTGATATGATTAGGTCAGGATGTAGTGTTTTTCATTAAAATACATTTTAGAAGCTGTATTCATAATCTGCCCTTGCAATTAAATAATGAGCCTATGAGTTTAATATTATCGACCCAATTATTATCCCATGGAAAAGTATACCTTTAATAAATTTGTGCCGTAGGACCTTCATTAGCAACAAAACGAATTACATTTCCAGGTACACGGATTACACGGCCACAATCACATTTACGTAGCTGTTTGGAAGGCACTTTAGGGAGAGAGCTGCCAATGCCCCCTACCATACAGAAACACACTTGATTATTTTGGAAGAAGTAATTTACAATGCCTTTAATGAGGAAAGCTGCAAAGAAGTAAAAATGCCATGTACAGAGGCAGACAGAAACATTTGTGGAAACAAACATTTGCAGGAACAGTGTTCTGGGCACCTTCTGATAGGAGAAAGCCTGGACGCTTATTCCTCAACCTGTTAGAAATATGGAAGTAGAGCTGAATATTTACTGATCTTTCATTGGAGATGGGCACATGTTAAATGTATGTCAAATTCCAGAATCAGGTATATGAGGACCAATGGCAGACAGGAATACATTGACTTGCCATTGATAGCAACAGATCAGTGATGAGGTCAGGACTCTGGATTTTAGCCACCCCTTTTTTTTTTTTTTTTTTTTTTTTTTTGGTAGTTGTGATAAAAGTGGTATTGACTTGCTGTCCTCACGAAGTAATCAGTTTCCCAAAGTTAAGTGACAGTTCAGAGTCAAAGTATCAAGTGGGGTTTTCTTTTGCCCAAACAGACAAGAGTTTAAAAAAAAAAGGAAAAAAAAAAAAAAAAAAAAAGAATTTCTAGTAAAACAGGTTCTGATGAGGGATTGTTTTCTGAATGGGGTCTGCTGTGGCTGGATTGGTTGTGAGGTGTGCAATGCCAGGTGCTCAATCACTTTGCTCATGTTTAAAGCCTCTGAACTACTTAGCAGGTGAATTGCTGTCAGCAGGGGTGAAAAGGAAAAAATCTGGTCCTCAGTGATTTTTACTGTATTTAGGCCTCAAGGTACCACCACTGCTTGCAGTGGGACTTTTTACATAATAATACTAATGA